AATTTTTTAACTTTAAACGCAAATATCTTTAGAACTATAAGTCAGCGGCAACTATATATATATATATATATATTCGTGATCTGGAGGACGTCACCTTTCCAGTGATACCCATTTTATCTATTCTAAATCCCAGCCAATTTTTCAATTTTATGTACACTAACACATCACTTATTCATTTGCACACATTTATTTTATATAATATAGTGCAAAAATTGATTTTAGTGTACATTTAAATTATTGTTGAAATATTATTGTTTTAGAATAACAGATGAATTACAAACTGTCAAATAATCAGTGTTACCATACTAAAATCTTTTACAAACTAAAACAAAAAAATAAAATAAATTAAAAAGAAATAGTATACCCTGAATATAGGACACATAATCGTTGATAAGCAATAAAAAAAATATGTAAAAWATTTAAGCGGTCTGAAGACCGCCAATGTAAAAATGTGTTCTACGGGAGCAAAAAAAATGTATACACCCAAAAAGGAGTTCTACGCGAAAAAAATTTGGTACACCCCGGTGTTGGACCGACCAGAGTGATTTCTTTTATAGGTTGTTGATTCTCGTATTTGGGGTATAATCTGTTCACTTTATTTCATTTTGTTATTTTACAAACGATGTCGATAAGGTAACACACTGATTATTTGACACTTTGTAATTCATTTGTTCTTCTTAAATAATCATATTTCAACAATAATTTAAATGTACATTAAAAGCAATTTTTGCACAATATTATATCAAATAAATGTGTGCAAATGAATAAGTGATGTGTTAGGGTATATAAAATTGAAAAATTTAAGTGAAAAATTAATTTTAAATACCGGAAATAGGTAATACCGGAATATTTCAAAATTTCAGGCACGATTCCGATTACTTTGGCGGAGGGGTAAAAAAACCGAATTTCCATAGAAATGGGGTAGGTATGGATAGGGGAGCTTCTCCAGAGTAGGAATATACAAAAATTAGATAAAAATTACTAATATTTTTTAAAATATTCACGTTTAAAATTTCAAAAATTTGCACTACGAACACATGTTATTTCACTATGTTTCACTAATATTTTTCAAGTTTTTTTT